TTGGGAATTCAAAACTAACATAACATTGACATTTTAATTCCCAGAGACAAACACACACACACACACACACACACACACACACACACACACACACACACACACACACACACACACACACACACACACACACACACACACACACACACACAGGCTTACAAAATATATATACAAACGAAAATATTGTATGGTAATTTTGAACCCCTAATATTATCCCTTCATTACTGTAATATGGTTGTATATTTTTTTTCTTCGGGGAAGAGCCCACGAAGATGTCAGAAAATAAGCTTTTTGAAGTGAGACATTGTATGAGTATGAAAACATAGAAGAAGGCAGAGCATTCCACAGTTTGGCTGTGTGAAGAAAGAAGGATGTACTATAACGGGTTATTGTAGTGTGACCGACATCCACAGAGAAACGGTGGGCATCTCGGTCATATAAGCATCTCAAGGGGCACTACTCAGTCGAATGTCCTTACTTGGAGCTGGCAGATGATCGCCCCACAAGGGGTCACAGCTCAAGATTGAAGAAGCCGCAGGTCCAGAAAACTGTGAGGGCATACTTTTTCTGAGTGAGAGTTGTGAACTCTTGGAACAATCTACCAGAAAGTGTTGTGACGGCACTGAGTGTGAGTTCTTTTAAGACCAAACTTGACCAACACTGGAGCAGGTTCAGGTACATTCAGGAGCCGGTGCATGCCCAGTACTGTACTTGCCAACAGTGCATAACAGAGACGAGACGTGACCGATCGCCCAAGCGGCTAACGAGCCGATCAGTGGTGAAGAGGGTAAAAGTAAGACATGTGTTACGAGCCCACGGCCTTGCCGGCGGTACACAGGATGCCAAACCCACCGAACATTGCCCGTTAAAGTACCTGTAAAAGAGAGAAAGTGAAGCAACATTGCTGGAAAGAGAAAGGGAAGAAAGATTGTCGACTAAAGTAGGAGAGTTAATAAGTTGAAATGCCTTTGATTCCACTCTATGTAAAAGTTGGACAGAAGAAGAGCCACCCCAGATATGAGAGCAGTACTCCAAGTTAGGACGAATGAATCCCTTATATACTTGAAGCAACTGCTCAGGAGTGAAGTAGCTACGGCATCTGTACAGCATTCCCAGCTTTCAGGAGGCCACTTAGGCAATGTTATGGATGTGTGGCTTTCATGACATATTAGAGGAAATGGTGAGGCCTAGCCTATCTATTTTATAATTTGACAGAATGATTGCATCCTGAAATGTGATTGGTGGGGGATCATCTACTTTGGAAAGTGTAATTAGCAAATACTGAGTTTTATTACTATTGAATTTAACCAAGTTTCTACCTCCCCATTAGGAGATGCTGCTCAGTGATGTGTAGTAATGTATTGTACTTTACATTAACATTGGTGTAGTTTACTGTTTTGTGAATATTATTGCTTATTTTCTATTTATACTGGTATACTGACTTTATTTGGTACATTGTAACTTACACTGGTATGTTGTAACTTAACACTCGTACATTGTAACTTACACTGGTACATTGCAACTTACACTAGTACATTGTAACTTACATTAGTACATTGTAACTTACAGTAGTACACTGTAACTTACACTAGTACATTGTAACTTACACTAGTACAGTGTAACTTACATTAGTACACTGTAACTTACACTAGTACATTGTAACTTACACTAGTGACAAGGACCACCGCGGTGTTTACATATATCGTGAAAACTGTGTCGGCGACCCCAAGCACCAGGGACAAAGACCCACGGTCTTTACGACTGACAAATATTAACAGATGTCTACCAGTGTCAGTGGCCCTCAAAGTGCCGTCAGTGACAAACACTTCCGTCCGCCCACAACAGATATCAACAGATGGCCACCAATCACTTACTCCCGACGCACTCTGTACCATCTAAAGCGTGGGAACGGTTATCCTGATGGCAGTGTTATCGCGCGACTCAAGTCACTGAACATATTCCACGCGCGGAGCCGTAGACAAGGCCGTCATACACATAAGCCCATTAGAACCGTAACCTCCACTAGGAAACCGGAGAAACCCACCCCTGACAGACCATACCACCACACTGAAGTTCCACGGATATGGTATGATCTCCCGTCTTTACTGCTATCCAACGTCACTTCCCTAGCTAACAAGTTCGACGAGCTGGCAACTACAGTCAGGTCAGCCGCCGCGAGCGTCGTTGCCATATGTGAGGCTTGGCAAATTGTGCCTGAAACGTGTCATATTGAGGGATATCAACTCTTTCATCACCTTCGTTCACATAGACGCGGAGGGGGCGTTGCCCTCTTCTGTCAAGATGACCTACGCCCGTCACGCCTGGATGTTCAAGTCCCAGCAGATGTGGAAGCATTATGGGTACGTGTTGTGCCACGGGCCCACCCGCGCAACACTGCTTCCATCATAATCTGTGTGGCATACCATCCGCCTCGCTCACCCACCAGAGACACTCTTATCAATCATCTCATCACCACCTCAGACCACCTCAGAGTTAGGTACCCATGTGCCAAGTTAGTATTATGTGGGGATTTTAATGAAATTTACACCACTGATATCCAGGACCAGCTATCACAATCACAAGTTGTGACCTTCCCCACACACGGTCAAAATACCCTTGACCTTATCTTAACTGACTTAGCGGACCAGTACCAACCACCTCAACCAATGCCTCCTATCGGGTGTAGCACACACTTATCAGTGCTCTGGTCCCCAGCTGCCACTCCCACTCAAGTACAGAGACCCTACATCAAGACCTACAGGCCGATTACTGACTCTGCAGTGCGCCTCTTCGGGCAGTGGATAGTTCACCATCCCTGGACTGAAGTACTTAGCGTGGATGACGTGGAAACCAAATGGATAAATTATACCAACACCACCATGGAAGCCCACCACCAGTCAGATCTCACCCAGCTGACTTGCCCTGGATCACACCTCGGATCAAAAGACTTATGCAACAGAGAGACAGAGCCTTTCATCTCAATGACCACATCCGCTACAGGTCCCTTCGCAACCGAGTCATCCGCGAAATACGCACTGCAAAGAAGTCCCACTACCCAACCAAATTACAACACCTGAAGCAGACCAACATCAGTCAATGGTATGGTAAGCTTAAAGAACTCTGTGGACTAAACAATAAGACACACCCCCTCCCCTTCCTTAGCCATCTCACTAATGTTGACGCAGCTGAGCAAACAAATAACCATTTCGCTACTATATGCCAGACGCTCCCCCGGCTTGACACAACCACTCTCCCTGCTTACCTACCAGCCCCCCTTCCCACTGACTTAGTAGAAGAATTTGAAGTAGCAAAACGCCTGGACAAACTAAAATTAAAACGCTCTACCACCCCCATTGACTTACCAATGAAACTCTTCAAGGAGTTCTCCCCGGAGCTTGCTAAACCCCAATGCTCCATCATCAATGCTTCTCTCAGTCAAGCCAGATGCCCAGCTGACTGGAAGACCTCTTATGTATCACCAGCCCACAATCCTTAAATCAACTACGACCTATTGCAATCACCCCAATACCCAGCCTAATCTGTGAAAGTTTTGTGTTCGACTGGGCTTATGCTGATATTGCAGGAGTCGTAGACCCTCAGCAATTTGGCAACATGAAAACTTCCTCCACCACTCACTGTCTTGTCAGCTTTCTCGATTACATATACCGCCATCTCGAGAAACGAAAAACGTCTGTAGCTGTCTCCTTCATTGATTTCACTAATGCGTTCGACCCAGTTGACCACAATATAATCATCAACAAAGCTATTGACCTCGGGCTTCGGAGAAGTCTTATACCATGGCTTACAGACTTCCTCAGTGACCGACGCCAAGCTGTACGCTTCCAAGGGGCTGTCTCCACCTTTCAGTCACTCACCTGTGGCGTCCCCCAAGGCACCAAGATGGGACCACTCTGCTTCCTTATGCTCATCAATGATGCCCTAAGAGAAACCCCTGCTCGCTGGAAATATGTCGACGACTCCACCATTGGGATCAGCGTCAACAATTCTGCTCCCGACTATACCGCCCTTCAGGATTTATTGAACAGTCTCCAAAACTGGGCCACCAACAACCATGTCACCATCAACCATACCAAGACCATGGTTATGCACATCAACCTCTCCTCCGACATTGCCCCACCTCCTTCCATTACTCTAGGTCCGAACACACTCCAGGTTGTAGATTCCACGAAGCTCCTCGGCGTCACCATAGACAACAAACTAAATTGGAAACCACACGTCAGTGAAGTTGTCAAATCCTCCAGTTTCCGTCTCCACCTCCTCCGCCGACTCAAGTCCCTCGGAGTTCCTGCCCGAGCTCCTCAGTGCTTACACAACATTCATACTTCCCAAGCTCACCTATGCCTCCCCCACCTGGTCTTCCTCCCTAAATGCCACACAACGTAAACACCTAGAAAAAGTGCAAAAGAGGGCATGCAAGATTATTCTCTCCCCTTCCTACTCCACATATCAAGAAGCGCTCAACACACTGACCCTTTCGACTCTCACTGACCATCACCACGACCTCATCTGCAAATTTGGTAAGAAGCTTCTACACCATCCTCGACACCGGCTCCTACTACCACCTGAGATCCCTAGTCCGAGAATTGCTGTTCGACACCACAACCGCATCCAGCCCATACATGCACGAACTGATCGCTATAAGAACAGCCCCGTTCCAACCATTGTAAAAATTATCAATAACTTGTAATAAACCAGTGTATTCACTCCCAGTAAACACTATTCCTTGCACTGTCACTATGTTGAAATGAACTGTAGTTTGAGCTTTTCCCCATCTAGTTATTATATATCTTATTTGTGTCACTTATGTTACTTGTATATTATTTGTAATTCGAAACCCATTCCCCAAATATGTAACTGTATATTTTCAGCCTTCTGGCTGCCAAGCTCTTTCAATAAACCGTTAATTATTATTATTATTATTATTAGTACAGTGTAACTTACATTGGCACATTGTAACTTACATTGGTGAACTATGGTTTCAGAGGCAGGCGTGGTTCAGCAGTGGGTGACAGACGACCTCTGACCCAACATCCGGCAGGTCATGGCTCTCAAGGTCAACAAAGACTTACTTCCCCTCAAAATCCATTACTTCTTCAAATATGGAGGTAAATTACTGTAGTTTGGAGTTGGAGATTTTACGAATTTTAGTTTCTGAATTCAATGTGTGTGTGTGGGGGGGGGGGTATTTTTATTACTTTGCATATATCATTAAAAACTTTTTGCTCTCATTAATACTTTTATTATTACTCAACTCTCCAAGCACACATTATTGTTTTGTTTGTTTTTTGTGGAGAAGAGAAAATACCCTTTTAACCACCTCACTACATGGTTTCATAAGCCTGTATTTTCTTCCTAAAAAATTCCAGAACTTCTTGCCTTGGTATTTTGTATGATTCATGATGTGAGTTTTGTTTTAGATTATAAGATTTATGAATTAAGCAAACCATTGATCATATTATAATAGTGTACAGGGGTGGATCCAGGAATATCAAAAGGGGGAGATCCAAGAAGTTGTGGGTGGGGGGACATGGCGAGTATAGCGAGCCCACCCAGCTGGGTTTTTTGGAGGGGGGGGGGGTCTGTAAGTCCCCCCTCCCCCGATTTTTTTTTTAATCTGACCAATATCATGGGCATTTTGAGACCATTTTGAGGCCGTTTTGAAGCCATGCACACTTGATTTTAGGAGATATTCTGAAGTCAATACAGTAGTAAATACTTTTTACTATACAAAAATGCCCGAGTACAATACTGCATTAAAGAAAAAGTTTTAGAATTTTCTGGTGAAAACAGGGATTCCGGACCCCCAGGACCACCTAGGATCCGCCCTTGGTGTAGTGTCATATGTCTTCAGAAATAGTACTGTATTGTGAATACTGTATACAGTAGTAGATCCGACACAAGAATGTCATATCTCTTATGTGTACCTTTCCTCCCCAGGGATAGCATTTTTCTTCCTCCTGCCAGTGGTGGCTCAGCAGAAGGGGATCCCAACACTAGCTGTGGGTCTCATGTGGTCTGTCACTCCCCTCACAAGCTGTGCCATCAACTTACTGATGAGTACATTAGCTGATGCTTTCAAGATCCACCGTGCATTATTCCTGGCGGGGATGGTCGTGTTCAGCTGCTCCTTTATTACAATCTTCCTCCTCCCCGATGTTTCCAAGTCCTTGAGTGTTGAGACAGCAGCAACAGTCTCTCTTCAGTGCCTGGACAACAACACTAGACTGTCTGTGTGTTCCAGTGACCACCGGTACTCGTCTAACACCTCCACTTTACCTGCATTCCAGAAGTGTGTCAATGATGATGCAGTTGACCAAATGACAAAAACTGAGGAATATGAAATAAACTGCAAGATACAGTGTACTTATCGTCATAATGAAGGTTTAAGTTTTGTTAATTTTAGTGAAAATTTTAGATTGCCTACAGATTTAATAATGAATGTTGGGAGTGAACAGTCCTTATACGACGCTTGTGAGGAGAGTCAGTGTACTATTATCACTGAGACCGACGCCACACCAGCCTTGTCACAGTCTCTTAACTTTACTTGTGGCATGAATTATGATGCAATGTGCACCTATCACTATGGTGTCCCGGGCAGTAAATTAGAAGAAGATATCACCTTGATTGATGTAGTTAAAACAGGAGAGTTTTGGCTCATGTTCATTCTCTTACTGTTGGTTTATGGTGGAAATGCTACGACCACCACCATTGCAGACACCGTGTGCTTCACTTTATTGGGTACGGCTCGTCATAAATACGGTCGCCAGCGCATGTGGGGGAGCCTGGGATGGGGGTGTGTTGGTACGGTGAGCGGGGCCCTCGTGGACTACTTCACAAAGGGAGAATCGCAAACCAACTACACTCCAGCTCTGATTATATCCATCATCTTCCTCACAATAAACCTGTTCGTCTCTTTGAAGATTCCCTTTAATATTTCCAAAAGAGAAAAGTTAAAAGCCAGCAGTGTTGGTAATGCCATTTGTACCTTCAAAATGATGATTTATCTGGTAAGACATTTTGTTAATCTTTCATTAAATGAAGTTTGTGTGGAGTATTTTTCATGAATAATATGATATTTTTAAATGTACTGTATTATCTTAGAATTAATATTAGAAATTTATTATCATAAAATTAATATAAGTACAGTACTTTGTTTTACAAACCATGAACGATAACTTCAGTCATAATTATAGTGAGTACGTATGTATAGTTGCTAAATTCTTGCTTATTTTTTTTTACTGTATATACAGATGACTGTTGCAGTGGGAGGCTCGACTGTGGGAATGATATGGACCTTCCTGTTCATCATGGTGGAGGATGTGGCTACTGCTTGGGACCCAAATTTTGCGCACATAAAGCTTCTCCAAGGTCTTATGGTGGGAACTTCTTGCTTCCTAGCAGAAGTTCCTTTCCTCTTTCTCTCATGTAAGAAACTTATTACTGTTTTACTCTTTCATATTTTTATGAATTTCCATTACCCTACAAAATTGGTGAGGCTATTCAAATCACAATATGTACAGTTAAAAAAAAATTGGCAATCCAGCTTTCCAGTGCAGCAAACAGCTGCATAAGATGATCATATGACAGCCTTGTAAAGGATTGTCACCATTCTTGTATGCCAGGACACTCCTGCTTAACACAATTACTCATAATGCAGTAGGGTCGGGATATACTGTATAGCAATTTTTTATAAAAAAAATTATATCGTGACTGCTATGGCAAACAAATGCGTTATTTGCTCACCATAGGCGCCACCGTGGCTGCTAACTCACGCATTCACGCCCGCCCACACAGTCTTTCTGATTCAGTTCTTGAAAACATGCAATGCCGTAAAGTTGCTATATCGGGTCCAATGATAGAATGAGGCAATGGAAATACAGACACGTCTGTTTCAGCGAGAAGAAAAGCCAGCAAGTGAATGTAATTTCACAGCTAGCCAAGGCTGGCTTCACAGCTTCATCAAGAATATTTGTACTGAGGTTCTGAAAATGCCTTCAACCCCACAAGATGTGAGGAGGTTGGGGATAAGCCTCGCCCCCTCAGGATCACACAAGTCAGCGAGGAGGAAAAATGGAAGGTTATTCGGCAGGCAAAAAACTTAGCAAGAAGCAAGGCATCTCAGAGTGTATTCATTCACCCAGATCGCACGGTAATGCAGAGGGAACAGCACAAGAAGCTCCTGCAGGACTTCAAGCAGAAGAGGGAGGAGTCAAGGAGGAACGGGGACGGGTGTACATGGATTATATTCAGGGGAAGGGTAGTGGAAGCAAGTGTCGACGCAGGGCAAGGGGGCAGCAACGCACCCTCCACCCGTTCTATACCCCACCCGGGAGGTGGCACCAGCTCCGCCTGCCAGACAGGAGGAGGCGAGCGCCGTGTAAACAATGACATTTCTAACCACACCCTGCAAAATACAGTGTACTTAGCAAATGCTGCAGCTTCTGAGAATGGGGGTTACTACTAAGAGCAGAGACGTTACCGAGAAAAAATTTTGGCTTGAATGTCATGTACACTAATACTGACACGTTTCTTGATAAGAGAGAGGAGTTTGAAACACCACTGAAGGTACACCAACCACATATTGTGGGAGTTGTAGAACTGTTGTACAAGAACAGGAGAATCGACCAAGAGGAATGTGAGTTCAGTATTGCTGGATATGACTCATATACGAACCTTTCTCAAGAAACTTGCAAGAAGGGTGTGGTTATCTATGGGGGACTTCAACTATGGCGACATCGACTGGAGAAACGAGTTCACTCGAAATGACTTGAATAACACTGCTACTCTTTTTGAAGAAACTCTGAGAGAAAATTATCTGTTCCAGCATGTTAGAGAACCGACACATTACAGAGGGGAGCAAACACCCAAGTCGCTTGACCTCATCATAACAAACGAGGAGGGTATGGTAACCAAACTGGAACACCTTGCCCCAGTTGGCACCAGTCACCATATAGTGCTATCATTCAGATTTAACTGTTGCCTAGTTCAGGATAAGGCCAGGGCAAGGTGCAAATATTACAAGGGAAATTACAACGGGATGAGGGAAGAGATGAGGGGTATCAGCTGGCCTGACTCATTAAGGAACAAGAACGCAGATACTACCCTGAATATCATAACTAGTAAAGTGACCCATTTGATCGATAAATATATACCCAAGACCAAACCCAGTGCTTCTAGGAATACGAGGGGATCCCTACACGTGAACCATGCGGCGGTCGACAAAGTTAAGAAGAAAACCCAGAAATTCAAGACTTGGGTTGGGTCAAACAATGAGCAGGACAGGAGGATGTATGCAAGAGCCAGAAACCAAGCAAAGATAGAGTGTAGAAGGGCTGAAAAGGAGTTCCAGAGGCTGGTTGCAAGCGAGGTCAAGTCAAACCCTAAGGCGTTTTACCGCTATGCAAAGTCCAAATTTAAAACAACGAGTAGGAGTATCAGACCTGAGGCTGGTGGATGGTAGTTACGCAGATTCTGACCAGGATAAAGCTAAGGCATTGAACAGCTTCTTTTCCTCGGTGTTCACAAGAGAGGATGCAACTAACCTTCCTGCGTTTGAGGACAGACGGTTCGACACAGCACTGACCCACATTGTGTTCACAGAAGAGGGTATTAGAAATAAACTATCAATGCTAAAGGTCCATAAGAGTCCCGGCCCTGACATGGTGCATCCTAGAGTGCTGAGAGAGTTGAGCAACGAGCTTGCTGAGCCTCTGAAGATCCTGTTTTGTAAATACCTGGATGAACAAATGGTCCCCAGTGAATGTAAAGTGGCTTATGTGAGTCCTATCTTCAAGAAGGGCGATCGTCACTTCACGAACAACTATAGACCGGTGAGCCTGACCAGCATAATATGTAAGGTACTTGAGAAACAACCTTGTAAAGGATTGCCAACACGGTTTTAACTTTTACTTTTATCCTCTTCGCCACTGATCGGCTCGTTAGCCGCTTGGGCAATCGGTCACGTCTCTGATTACTTTTCCTTTTCATTTATCCTCTTCACCAAATGATCGGTTCGCTAGCTGCCGGGGCGATCGGTCACGTCTCTGTCACGCACTGTTGACAAATACTGGGCATGCACCGGCTCTCGAATGTACCTGAACCCGCTCCAGTCAGGGCTAGATTCAGGAGTGGGCAAAGTGGGCAGCTGCCCAGGGGCCTCCACATATTACAATATTTTATTTATTTGTTTATTCATTTGGATTATTTTTATTTTCATTTTTTTAAATTCATGATTATCTATTCCATCACGTAAAACTATGTTCAGCAAGAAGCGTGATAGAAATGAGGCTAGCTACTCCTTGAAATTCATGAATACCTGGTTTTATACGGTTAATTAAAAATTTCTCAATGTTCTAATTTCCTCTATATAACTACATATGGCTTCAAAATTCTCCAAAGAAGTGTTCAAATTTCTAAATTTTCCCGGGGGGCGCTGTAAGCCCCCCGGAACTCCGAAATGTTTAGGCTAGCTTCACTCGCCGCCCCACCCTCTTGGGTAGTTATAATGACGGGGGCCTCCACAAAGAGGCTGCCCATGGGCCTCCACAGGTCTAAATCCGGCACTGACTCCAGTGTTGGTCAAGTCTTGTCTTGAAAGACCTCGCACTCGGTTCCGTCACCACACTCTCTGATAGATTGTTCCAAGAGTTTACAACCCTCATCTGAAAAAGTTTGCCCTCACAGTTTTCTGGACTTGCTGCTTCTTCAATCTTGAGCTGTGACCCCTTGTGGGGCGAGCGTCCGTCAGCTCCAAGTAAGGACACTCGGCTGAGTAGTGCCCCCTGAGATGCTTATACACCTCAACTAGGTCACGCCTTGCCCGTCTGTAATATGAGCTAGGCAAGTTCAGGCACTCCAATCTCTCAGAGTAGCTAAGGTGCCGAAGTGCAGGCACCAGTCTGGTGGCCCTCCTTTGAACATTTTCAACCAACTGACAGTCCCTAGCATATCTCGGGGACCAGACAGGGTGACAATACTCCAGATGGGGAAGCACTTCACTCTTGAAGATCGTTATGATGGACGGACCGTCTAGAAATCTGAACGACCTTCTTATAAGACCCAATAATTTATTTGCCTGGTTTACCTTCTTCTCGCAATAGCCCGAGAACTTCAACTCATTGCCAACATACACACCTAGGTCCTTTTCACATTCAATCTCAACTAGTGCTGTTTCTTCATCCCGTTGGGACATATGATACGCCTCCTTACCGTTGGTACGCCCCAGGTGCATCCTCTTACACTTCGTGACATTGAATCTCAGCAGCCATTCCTTCGACCATTCTTGGAGCTCACAGAGATCCTTCTGCAGCTCTTCAGTCAGCTTGGTTCTTAATTTCCCGAAATAACTTAGTGTCATAGGCAAACATTTGTATGGAGGAGTGTACAACGTCAGGCATGTCATTTATGAAACAAACAAACAACAGCGGGCCCAATACACTGCCCTGTGGTACCCCACTTATGACTGGTACAGATGACGATTTTGTGCCATTAATCACCTCACACCGCCTGCGGTCATGTAGAAAGTCTTCTATCCATGCAAGGACATTTCCCCGAATTCCATACCCTTCCAGTTTGATTTTCAGCCTTTCGTGGGGTACACTGTCGAAAACCTTGGCAAAATCTAGCTAAATATTGTCGATATTACCACCCCGTTCCAGAATATGGGTCCAGATATCCAATACCTTGAGCAATTGTGTTAAGCAGGAGCGTCCCGGCATAAAACAGTGTTGGCAATCCCTTACAAGAATGTTTCGTATTAGATGTTCCATTGCGGCATCTCTGATAATACTCTCAAGTACCTTACATATTATGCTGGTCAGGCTCACCGGTCTATAGTTGTTCGTGAAGTGACGATCGCCCTTCTTGAAGATAGGACTCACATAAGCCACTTTCCATTCACTGGGGACCATTTGTTCATCCAGGCATTTACAAAACATGATCTTCAGGGGCTCTGCAAGCTCGTTGCACAACTCTCTTACCGCTCTAGGATGCACCATGTCAGGTGCGGGACTCTTATGGACCTTTAGCCTGGATAGTTTATTTCTAATACCCGCTTCTGTGAACACAATGTGGGTCAGTGCTGTGTCGAACTATCTGTCTTCAAACGCACCGAGGAAAAGAAGCTGTTCAATACCTCAGCTTTATGCTGGTCAGAATCTGCGTAACTACCATCTTCAAGCCTCAGGTCTGATACACCTACTCGCATTTTCAATTTCGACTTTGCATAGCGGTAAAACGCCTTTGGGTTTGACTTGACCTCGCTTGCAACCAGCCTCTGGAACTCCTTTTCAGCCCTTCTACACTCTATCTTTGCTTGGTTTCTGGCTCTTGCATACATCTTCCTGTCTTGCTCATCTTTTGACCCAACCCACTTGAATTTCATTTTGTGTGGTTCATGTGTAGGGATCCCCTCGTATTCCTAGAAG